TAATAGGAGGGTTATGTTGTCTCTACTAATGATCATATTTAATAATAAATATATTTTTATAATACTCTAATGAGTAGGAAATTATATTTCTAACGTTTCGTGAATTAATATAGATCGCCTCTTCAAAATAAATAAATAAGTGAAATAAAATGGACACAACATGGGAGATTATTTAAGTAAATAGGGATTGTGTAGTCTTAATGACGATAATAAATGGCTGGATAATTAGAACCATTTTGTTTATTATACCTGAGACGAGAACAATATGTATTGCAGATTGTGGATACTTTCTGATTCTTTGAACTCGCCTTACTATTTTTTTCTCTCAATGTTGCCTAAACGGCACTTTTCCATTCGATAACTATCGGCATAAGTATACAATATCTTTTTAAGGAACACAGTAAACTATGTAGTAGGTTTGGAATGAGTGAATGAATTTTAGACTTCGGTACAGGAAAGTACAACTTTTCAAATTGTAGAAAAAGATTTTATTTGAAGTCACTCACCTTTGTGCATTACTCAGTCAAAAAACCTGTGTTATAGGTCGGGACTCAAGTTAATGTGCAAGTTTTCGTCGGTTAACATGTTTTCGACTTGGTCATTATACTCTTGCATATAAAAAACATGTTCGTTCCATTAGGGATGTACTTGGGTACTTTTTATAAGTTAGACAAAATCAGTCTTATTACATGTAACCATTCATCTATTTAAATTTATTTATTTAAACACATATATATTGGTACAAAAGGGCACCAGGTACATATGCGCCACACAAAATAATGAAAGTAGGAAGAGAAGGGATGAAAAGATAAGGCGGACTAAAATGTACAACCAGAAGACTCTTTCAAATAGGAAAGTAAGAACCATACTTTATGTAGAAAGTAAAAGAAGGTTGCAGCAGGATCGCCACTGGCTTCGATTCTGAGCCATATCTGATAACGTCTCTAGCCACTGTGTTGCACCATCTCTCGGACCCCAACCAAGGAGTCGTGAAGGACCAACAGAAGCTAGCCCTTTGCAGCTTTCTTTCATGCCACGACGCCATGTCATACACTGACCTCCTCTCCACTTTTTCCAACCAGTCCCAGAGTCGGCAAATAATGCACGACGTGGAAGTCTCTGGGACGACATTCGTAAAACATGTCCAAGCCACCGAAGTCGGTGTTTCAAGATGGTGACACCAATTGAATTATCATCTCTGCGTTTGAACACACGATGCCGAACCTCTGCATTACTAACATGGTGTTGCCACTGGATGTCAGCAATCCTTCGGAGACAACGATGATCGAACACAGAGAGACGTCTAACATCCTCAACTCGGAGAGGCCAGGTTTCACAAGCATAGAGCAAAACTGCTCTCACCGACGCGTTGTAAATCCGACTTTTTACAGCCAGACTAACATCACGAAGGCGCCAAAGATGGCCCAGATTGGCATAAGCCGATCTGGCTTTCCTTATACGTGCATCAATCTCATCACTCACGCCACCACCAGCACTTATATAGCTACCTAGATACACGAACTTCTCAACTACTTCGATCTGCTCACCATCCAGGGTGAGTACAGGATTAGAATCCTGCCAGTCTTGTAGAAGTACTTTGCACTTGGATGGTGCAAAGCACATGCCGTACCTGCGGACACTGATTGCCAACTGATTAAGTGCTGATTGCATGCCTTGGGCATTATCGCACAGTAAGACAATATCATCCGCATACTCAAGGTCGAGAAGTCGTTCTCCAGGCAACATATCCACACCGCCATTACTTACATCCACCAGAGCTGTTTCTAGGATGTCGTCGATGGCAAAGTTGAAGAGGAATGGTGAGATCGGGCAACCCTGCCTAACCCCACTGCTCGAATGGAACAAGGGAGAAAGGTGGTTGTATGCCCTCACTCTGCCTGAGGTGTTCGTGTACAGGGCCTTTAAGATGTTAATGAACTTCTCAGGCACACCCTTCTTCAATAGACAATCTCAGAGAACAGTCCTGTCCAACGAATCGAAGGCCGCCCTGATATCAAGAAACACTACGATTGTTGGCCTGCGATAAGTATGACGGTGTTCTAATATTTGGCGGAGGGTGGAGATGTGATCAATGCATCCTCGACCAGAACGAAAACCAGCCTGCTCCTCGCGAGTCAATCGTTCTCGGGTTTTAAACAACCTACGAAGAATGACAGAAGCCAATAGTTTGGACGCAATCGAAAGTAGACTTATCCCCCGATAGTTGTTACAGGAACAACGTGAACCCTTTTTAAAGATAGGGACGACTATTGACTCATTCCAAGATGTTGGAACACTTTCTTGCTCCCAAACCTTTCCAAACAACGCAGTCAGTTCCTTAGCCAGAAAGTCACCACCATCTTTAAAAAGGGACAGAGGTAAGTCATCTGGGCCGGGTGATTTGTAGCGCTTCAAGAGTTGGAGTTCCTTGCGGACTTCCGCCTCGTTTGGTGGAACAGTCGTCACCGGCCATGGGGGGCAGGACAAGCTGGTTGATGTTGCCGGAGCAGCAGGCCAGTTGAACTGCCCTTCGAAAAATTCCGCCCATCGTCCAAGACGTCGGGAGATGTTAGTGATTGGCATCCCATCATCCTCGTAGATTGTTTCACTCACACCAGACTTCTTGCTGCCAGTGGCTCGGATGAGTTGGAAGAGCTTCCGGCAGTTACCAGATGCAGCTGCTGCTTCCATCTCATTAGCACGCTCCGACTACCAGGCTTCCCGGTCCTTACGCAAGCTTTGCCCAATTTCATTACGTAACAGCCTTCGTTTGTGGTCAAACTCACGGTCACCCGGAGTAGACCGACGGGCTTCCATCAGTTGTAAGGAGCCAGAAGAAACCCAGTGCTTGTAAGCGGGACGTTTCGCGAAGCCGCAAGCGGCTTTACTCGCCATTTTCATGGCGTCGTGAAGATGCAACCAATGCTCATCTATACTGTTCGGTGGGGTGTTAGCTAGCCTAGAGGCTAGCTCCGCTCGGTACTTACTTGCAACAGGATTTGCAGCCAGTTTACTAATATCAATCCGTTGGTGGTGGTCAATCCTTCGGCCACTGAAAAGTAAGGTGAGATTGGCGCAGACCAGGGCATGATCAGACTCCAGATAGGTACTCCAAAAGGAGCGGCAGTCTTGTACACAACCACGCCAGCGGTAGCTGATCGCGATGTGATCAATCTGAGTCCAGGCTTGGGATGCAGAGGGAGGACGCCAGGTGGCACACCGGCGATGACTGTGCCGGAAGTTGGTGCTGGCCAGAAACAGGTTGTGGTCTGTGCACTGTTGCAGCAAACGGTCCCCGTTATCTGTCCTGCGACCAACAAGTCCCCATCGGCCACCTAGACGACTCTCTTCTATGCCTAGACGCCCGACCTGTGCATTCAAGTCTCCGGCTAGTACTACAATATCTGTCGAACGCGCTTTCTGGAGAAGAACTGTTAACTGATGGTAAAACTCATCCTTGATTGCATCCGGGCTGCAATCTGTCAGAGCATAGGCGGAGATGACGAAAAGACACCGTTTCTCACGCCGGTTTCTTCTCACTTTGATGGAACTTTCTAATCTAACAGCACATAACCGACTGTTAATGGGGATCCAATCGATTAGTGCTGCCTCAGCCCTAACGCTTAGTGTGACGCCAACGCCAGCAAGACCAGACGAAGATGCCACAGGGTCCCCGGATAAGCGCACGTGGAACAAGCTTTTCGAGGCGACAGATGGAGAGCGGATTTGTAGTACTTCACTAGAGTCTTGAATACGGGTCTCGGATAGACAACAAACGTCAACATTAAGACCTTCCAAAGACATAGCCAGCCCTATCTGTTGTCTGATCTGCATTAGTGTGCGAACGTTGAAGGAAGCCAGCTTGAACGGCGTACGTGGTTTCAGAAAGACTGCCTCAGTATTCATAATCGGTGGAAGCATTCACTTTCAACCAGACAGTTACTGGAGATCGTTTAGATAGGACAGATTTTCCACCAAGAGCGAGCTGCTGCATAAGTTGAAGAGTAAGGTTACACAAATTGGGGATAAAAGGGGGTGAATTAGCGATATGGTAAGTAATAATAACAATAATAATAATAATAATAATAATAATAATATGTAAATTGTCTTGCTTATAATATGAGCAGGAATAGAATCGTCAACAGAGTTCATCATTTCATTCAATTGTGTGTGGGCTGTGATACTGCCCGGGTGCCCAAACCGAAGCAGGTGGTTTTCTTAGGGGACCACACCCAATGACAGGTTCTTCCGCCATTCGTTCCATCAGGATACTGGAGCCCATGTGCACCATTGGTTTGGAATCAGGGTTTTCCAACTCCCCTAGGTGGACCCTCCGTGTCCACCAATCCGGTTATAGCGCCGGACATTCGCTTTTCGTCCTCTCACTTTCGTAAACAACACCCCCGCCACGAGAAGGCAGTGAGTAGGACTTCCCTGGCAGAGGCTATATATTCGCTGGCCATATGAGAGCATTTCGAGAGGGAGAGTAGACTCTCCCCACTCTCGGCCGTACCAGGGCATTTGGGTTTGAAACGTCCGCTAAGATAGTCGTTGTCACCTTCCTATATTCATTCACTTGTTCAACAGAATAAATATTGCATACTCTCATCTTTGTTTGTGTTATATTTTCTCAACCGTGGTTTTTCACCATCTTGAAAACTTGTGTTAATTTTCGTGAATTATCAGTTTCAGATATCTTATAGCTTCAATGTTAATCATTTGTTCCGTTCATAATGATAGATTTAGAAAATAAATTGTTGTGTATTTGATTTTTTTATCATGATCTTTATAATGATATAGATTTTTATTTCTTTCTGTTTATATAAAGTTTTATTCTACAGTTAGCATTCGCAGTACAAATGACAAGTATATATGTAATGCAACTAGGTTTTAGATTTCTGTTGTGTACATCATTCACTTTTAACGTATCTTGCAATTCTTTGTCAAAGGAATTTAAAATCGTATGATTCGGTATTTTTTCGTTTTGTTTTTTTCTTTAGTTTTGTAAAACACGTCATGGGCTGTGTCTCATACAGTGTCGCAAGTCTGGTGGTCGTACTTTTTGTCAACACCGCAGTTGTCGACTTCGTTCTGATCGGAAACGTCGACTACGACGGCGATGTACTTCGTCTGGGTCTAAATGTTTTCGTTCTCCTTTTATGCATATAACTTCTCCGGATCCTCACCTATTAAGTTGCTTGCAAGGCTGTGTTCATCGTATCCGAGAACCATTTACCCCGGATGAACAGCTCGAAACTGGCATTGCTGTCACATTGGAACAAGAGTATAATCGAATGGATGCATGCATTCGGAGGATAATACGGGTTGTTAAACATTTGCCTTATTTTAGCGAAGTTGGTAAACCTGCTCAACTAAGTTTGTTAAGAGTAAGTTAACATATGTCATTCCATCCATTTTAAATTACATGGTAATTTTCAGTTTTCCATTTCTCGTGTTTTATTATACGACTTACTACTGCTAGTTATAGTGATAAGTTTTCTGAAAACCTAATGGTGAGTTTCAGTCCTACAGCATGCATAGATGTTAGTTAAAATAGGAACCTTTTTGTCTATAAACCCTTATATATTATATTTCATTCGTACTTACTATCTATTGTCCGACACCATGTAAAGAATAAGTAGAAAATTAGAAGCTGTATTTAGTCTTGTCTCGATCACAGATATAAACCTGTGTCTACTACTGCACGCTATTATTTCTTCGACTTTTTCCGCAATATATGTGACTGATTGTATATGTACATAGTTGATTGCTGAATAACGTCTGCTGTGATTCGTTTGCTAAAAATATATCGATTCAGACACATACCACCTTTAATTCCAACCCCAGTTATCGCATACTTGTCGATAGTTTTTATTTCATAATCTGTCTACAAGTTACTAATGTAGAGATCCACAAATCGTGTTGTGTATACTTGTGTTGTTAAATTCTTAACTCTTATTGTTTAACATGTGGTTACATGTTTTGAGGCTTGTAGTGTACAATCGGAAATGTTCAGTATAACATTTCAAGAACAGCTCAGAAGTCGAAAATGTTACAAATAGTTCGTAATTCAGTTGAATTCAGCCCCTAAATGTAGAAGTGGTGGGAATAAGTTATGGGACATATTGTCTTCCTCCTTCTAACAACACTATTTCGGAGTCGTATGATCAGTTTAATTATCTTTACTTTAAAAAAATCCCAGTTGGTATAAAATATATAACCAGATTTATGAGGATTTGATTGATAAATTTGTTGTATATTTTTATCATAATCACCAAGCAGTTGTTCGTAGACTATGGTATGTATAAATAGCTTCTTTAAAAACCAAGACCACTCAATTAAATGGTACTGGCTCGTTGTTATGACATAAAGATATCAACTCACCAGGTACTTGGGTATGAGCCACACTTCAAGTATGAGGGCTAATTGCACTGTCTGATTGCTCAAACCGAAGTAAGTTGTTACAACTTAACTTAAAATCTATTAATTATTTAGCAATTCCAATTCTTTTTGGTACATAAATCATAGCTTTCAGGGATTTTGACAAGATTAGTCATGCTTACAAAACTTGGTGATATGGAATTAGTTCTTAGTCGTCAGTCGATTCCCAATAGTTTCGTAATTGATTTTTGATGAAAGTTAGCTTATGGCAGATTTATTCGTTTCCAAGATCAATTTAAATAATAAAACTGTTTTCCTGATTAACAGCTTAACTCTGAGCATTCAGTATTCTGAAATTATAGATTAACCTTAAGTGAATAAGTACTATTGTAACCACTTATAACGAAAAGTATAAATTCAGTCAAACTGTATGCAAATAGACGTTTTTATGCACATCGACCCGTGATTACCAGCTTATCGCTTTTTATCTTTTTTTAATTATCATAGTTGTCAATGACCTTAATCAGATCAAAAGAGCAGGTCACTATAATTCACCGTTCGATAAAATTGTATCGATTTTCTATGTCTATTTGTTAAGTGCCAAATTGCATTAATTGTAGGTAGATTATATTTCTTACTACAATTAGTTTAGAATAGGTTCATAGTTAATTGATTAGTAATTATTCTATATTCAATTGTAAAATTCCTGTATATTAGCTAAAAGTGATAATGAAGAACTGATTGAAAATAAGTATTTCTACAATTTTCTTCACTTTACTCAATTATCCAAAATATCACGGTTTATAATCAATTCACAGTCCATCTCATGCTAACAGCTTTAAAACTAAAGTCAACATGTCATATTGTTTACCATACATATGTATAGTAATTATGTCACCCACTAGAAAGTATTTAACTCTAAATGAAGGTGTCTTCGTGCTCAAATATAAATTAAGATTTTATCGCTAGTGAACACGATTCTGTTTCTGTAATTCTATTGATGGGCTTCAAGTTATCTTTTCCCATATACTTGGGAGTTTTTTGAATATGGTATAACGAGGCCGATAACGTATTACGACTAATTAGTGGATAAAACTCTCATATATTTTTTCGAGAAGAGATTATATTTTGTACACCATAGAATAAATTCTCTATTCGAAAGCAGTTCAACTTCCAGTAGCCTTTCAATATGGTTTACCAGGCCCATTTTGTGGTAGTTTATTTGATCTTATATGAATTCGCACAGTACTAGACATGATAAATATTTCTATACAAACTTGGTATTTACGGTAAATTTCCAACTCCAATAAATGACTATAGGCCTTCAGTTAGTGTAGCTTTTTAAACTTCATCTTCAATAAAGTCTATATACTTCTCTTTGATTCGATTACAATAAGCCAAAGAGTTTTTCGTAATGTCACAGTTCTGTATTAACATTTTCATTGTGGAACGTATGTATGTACATTATTATTTATTTTATATATAATTACGTGATTATTGTCGTATTTTGTTATTTTTATATAGACAAACATTTACGGATTGATTGTACTATATTCGTCTTTTTTCTTCGAACGTGATATTCGAAAATTAAGATATCCTGTATTACAAACTGATGGTCAGTTAACTACCGTAACAGTTTCAATGCTGGATGAAGTAGCCACTCCCAGCACTTCTGTTAATGATCCAGACAATGTAATCTCTGGATCATATTCTAAATTGCTTCAAAGTAATAGTTTCCGATCATTTTCACGTTGTCGTTCTAACCAAGCAAACTATGCTATGGGTTTACGTGAAGAATTTGAATTGTATAAATCAAATACCGTCGCTGCTTTTGATCATTTAGATGAGTTAGTTGGTTCAGATGATATTCTTCGAATGTCTGTTTTAGCCATCAAACTCTTCTCTGACAATTCTCTTTCTGAGGATCTACGTCCTCCTGTGTTTGCCGCTAGACAAGCCTATACTTTATTTCTTTGGAATTATATCCGTTGGCAAGCAGGCTCTAAACGTTTGCGGTCTGCCACCGAACTTTACGCCCGTATATTAATAGCTTTTATTGATTTACGAACCCTGGAAATTCGTATGACAGAATTCGCTAAACTACTCAGTTTAGATGGCCTCAGTCCATTAATGCGTGAAGTTTGTAGCCAACGAAGCAATTTAGGATCGACTTCCGCATAAAACTGTATTTATACAATGAAGTATTTGTTGATAGTAACAACGATGTGTTGTCGAAATAAACAGTTTATCTATTATGTATAGTATGAGCAACAAAACTTTGTTTCGTTTTGATTTATTATTTGTGTTGGAAAAAAGACAAACAAATAATTAAAATTTGCATATTATATTATTATTGTATTCATAGAAAGTGAATAGTTGTACACTATCACTAACCCAATACCTATTATTACTGTTTACTTAAATTTTGATTCTTCAACTAGTTATTGGTCCGTCTTTCTTCTAATAATATAAGAAGTGAATTAATCTCTTTTCTTTGAGTTCCGACTGTGTAGAAAAAAAATATATTTGGTAACTGTGATTGTGTACTAAACTGTAGGTTTTATTTTGTATAAATGTTTGTATGCGTGTCCACTGAGCACTGGTATTTATACACTCACCATTGTGATTGCAAAAATAACTAACAATTCTATTTCAAGAATGTTGTATTTTGTTTCTTTTTTACCAGCCAAAAGAATGAAGTAGAGAAGTAGTGTTTTCACACGTATTTATCTATAATTTTAATAAGATTTTGTATTTGATGGGTTATGTTCATTTTGCCCTGCTTAATATTTTGTTTATGTTTGCTTTTACGTGTTCCAATTTCTAACATTAAATATTTTCTGTCTCTTCCCACTACATCTTACCTACCTTTCTACCTGACTATTTATCTTCTCAAGCTTATGTTGTATTCAATATACTCCTTGTGTTAATTTTAAACAAGTAAATACGCATTCTGTAAACAATAGATGCTTTTGTTATAACTACCTCAGTTTGCAGTGATATTTGTAGTGGTACTTTACTACCAAACAGTAAACACATATTTATGTAAAATGCTAGTCAATTAGGTTATTTGGGCATTATATAAATCTTACCACTAATAATTTATTTGCTTACTATTTCTTTTTCTAACGTATAAATATTTATATAAACTGAGAAAATTGTGTTCCCTTCAAATATATATTTCTCACTTATTTGTTCATAGTCTTAGTGGGTAATTCTGTCGTAACAAAGACAAGTGTTAGCTAACTGCGAAAAAATTCACAGATTCTCCATCTTATTATGTGTGATATATTTTGATAATTGACTTGTTTGCTCTATGAAATGTGGATTTACTGAGTTAGATTTTGGTGAAAATTTAGTTTATTTCGACGATACATAAAAAACTCTTGTCATTTGAATATTAACAATCGTGAATCGGTCAAACTATCTAGTCACGATTTTATTATCATAAGAACAAAGTATGAAAAAGAATCACAAACGATAACATATCAGGTTTCATCAATCGCCAGTGTGTTCATGAGGAAAATTATTCTTTACTGAAATAGATTTAGAGCCATATAACATGTATTAAGTATCGTGAAACCTGAGACTATGTAATTGTTACTTCTTATTTACGTTGAGTAATAATTTAATAATGCAATTACTCTACAACCATGACTCTAAAAATCATTATCTCAAGTGATTTGGTTTCAACTCTTAAGAGCTTAGCGCACACATACTGTGTGCCTTTTTTACCATCAATAAATTGTACTTAGTCCCTACATTGTGTGCGTTGTGTTTATCCATACTTATTGCTTGGTTGGTTAGCTTCTTGAGTCTGGATTATGCTTACTCGTTACTGTTCTGAGATTTAAAAAATAACTAATCTACAAACAATTCTATACTCATTGGAAGCATATCTTGCGATGAATATATTGTTTCTCTGTTTGATTCACTTGGATCGAGTTAAAAGGCAATTCGTTGAGGAAGGTTTGTACTATATGGTATAGGCGTGTGGGCTAATCATTATTTCGGTGAATACTGTACTCTTATTCTCAAGCTTTTAATCATGATTTTGGCAAGTTTTTAAATGAGAAATTGTTCAGTATTGAATACACTAGTCTCTTAACGACATTTTGGCTTAGGCCTTGATAAATGAGACGTTTTGACGGAAGTAGTGAATTTGGTAGCTAAATGTGTACCTCTGTTAATCTGATTTATTTTAAAGGAAATGCCTTTAGATGGTATGGCAAAAAGCACCAACTTGTCTGTCTGAAGAAATTTAACCTCAGATATTTCATAAAAGCGATATAAGTGAAAACTTCTTGACAGTACTTAAGAAATATCTATGAGCAGAAAGCAAAAAAGGGAGATGTTTGAAAAGCAACCGACATTTCGGGAACTTTTTAGTCTAAGCTGGCTAACAGTTGTAAGAGGTGCGTAGCACAGAATACCCGCTCATGATCTGGTACGAATTAGTGACCGACAGCCTTCAGCTAGATATTTCTATGAAAACTAATGAGGTCAGCACCGTATGTCGAGAATTTGCAGAACTATTTATTTTGGGGCTTTTTAACCGTTACAGTTAAATAATTTCTTTTTATTATCCTAATTTCTATCTATCAATTTTCAGATGTGTTTGGTGATCACATGTCCCGGCATCTTCGAGGGCTTTTAAGACATGTAAAACGTTTGTTCATTTCTTCCGGACATTAAGGAGCGGTCTTAGAATTTAGGCACTTTCCTATGAATGTAGTTTGCACTGCCACAATAATGTGAGTAAATATAGTCGTTTCTCGGTGGTCAGCATATTTTGAGTACCGAGGAATCCATTTTTCCTAAATTACAAACAATTTTGGAACATGGAGATGACACGCATTCATACGTCTGTTTGGTTAGCAGCAATAAAGTCGTAAATGTAAGAGTGAAAAGATTTGGTAGAAAAACGAGCTTTAAGATAATGATAAGAACACAGCGAGTGTACTGACAAACAATTAAAAATAAGCTGATTAATAAGAGTACGGAAAATGTATGGGATGAGGGCAGTATAGCAGTTAGAAATCAAAATATATTACTAAATATCATAATGGTTAGGTAAGAGTATGCGAAAACGTCTTTCGCTGCTATTCTAAATCTGCCCGAATAGGAGAAAACTAGGATGGAGAACAACTGGAAAGTTATCAGAGAAGCACTAACTTCAACGTGTCAGGTGTCGGACACAAGACACGTCATCATAAAGAATAGGTCTCTATCGATGACCTGGACAAGATTCAAGAAAGAAAGGACAAGAAGACAGCAATCAACAACAGTCAAACAAGAGCAGGGAGAGACAAGGCATAGACTGAATACACAGAGGCAAACACGAGAGTGAAGAGGAGCATTTGAGCCGACAAGCAGAACACCTAACACTAACAGCAGAAAAAAAATGCAAGCGGGGGATGTGTATTAGATAAAGATATGGTACGACGAAAAAACCGACAGGGGAACATGGTAAACCACAGCGACCAGTCAAGGACGAAAAGGCAAGTCAGTCACTGAGATTCAAGAACAAATGAACAGTGAACAAAGCAGTTTGAAGTGATCTTCAATGAACCGGTCACACGACCTATTGGACATCGAAGCAGTACCTACAGACCTTCTTTGTATAGCTGTCACTCCACCAACAATCAAAGAAATCAGGATGACCACCAGACAAACCAAGAGTAAGAAATCAGTAGGAACAGACATTATACAAGCTAACTCACTGAAGTCAGACATAGACTTAACGGCTTACATGCTCCACGTATTATACAGGAAGATTCGGGCGAAAGAACGAATGCCAAAAGATTAGAAAGAAGGATACCTCATCAAGATACCAAAGAAAGATCTCAGCGAGTGTGAGAACTACAGAGCCATAACACTACTGTCAGTATGAAGAAAGGTTTTCAATAGTGTTACTGAAGCTGACGAAAGATTCAGTAGACGCTCAGCTTCGAAGTCAACAGGACGAAGTTCATGAGGATCGATCGTACACTGACCAAATCACAACAATACGGATCATTGTTAAACGACAAATTGAATGGAACTCAACGCTATACATTAACTTCCTTGACTGTGAGAAGGCGATTGGCAATGTGGATGCGAAGATCTTATGGAACCTTCTTCAACACTATGGTGTACTTGAGAAGATCGTCAACATCATCCGGAATTCTCACGACGGACTACACAGCAAAGTGGCGCATGGAAAACAACTGACAGATGCATTCAAAGTGAAGATCGAAGTCAGACAAGGCCGCTCACTCTCGCTTTTTCTTTTCCTTCTGGTGGTGAAGACAGGTGAAGTCACCCAATGTAGCAGCAGCCTTTGCAGAGTAGATCACAACATTCACAAAGGGGAAAAGCAAGATCCCTAAATGCAATACAGCAAGCACCAACCCAACGACACTAGATAGAGAAACTCTGGAAGAGGTGGGAACTTCCACAAATGTGGGAAGCATCTAAACAACTGTCAGCAAACATCAAAATCGGAATTGTGGCTCGAAACTTTACGATCACATATACAACCTACGATCATGGTCCTGCTTGAGGACACACCAGTTACTCAGGTTGCCTTTATGGCAAACAAAATATTAGCGAGGAATACTATTCTGGACAACTACACAGTTGCCCAAACCTCACACTCGATTGTAGATCTTGAAGCTAGTCGCTTACTAGCTCTATGCATAGCCGTCTCAAGTTCCGAGACCGTTCCATCATCGCAGAACTCCACGTATCTCGAGACAGGCCGCCGTAATGTAAAGCTGTAACTACTCGCCCTAAGCAAGCGTCTTTCAAGCCACGTCAAAGGCGGTTTCAGAAGCGAGGACTGGTTAATGCTGGTTCCACCATACTTTCTGGTTCGGTGCCCGCCATTGTCGAGTCCCCTGCTTATACAAGGCGAGTAACTTGCGTGCCGACGAGTAAATGCCGCCGTACTCGTCGGCCGTACTGGTCGCTTATTTTACATGGACGTCTATCGCATTAATGCTAGGTACCTAATAGATACAGGTGCTCAAGTTTCTGTCATACCTATTGGTAACAGGAAGTCTCAAGCCACGATGCTTCAACAATGCGCTGTGAATGGCTCAGTCATTCCTGTCTATGTTACATGACAGCTTACGGTTAACCTGAGCAACTGATGACAGTGTAGTATCAGTTTATATGTTAAGCCCATATACTTTATTCTAGTTGCTGGCCAAGCCAATTCGTCTATCCATTATGAGTCATATTTTGATCTTGTTATATATTCGCTTATTAATCTTGACTATACTTTTATATGAGCGTATATGTGTACACTTCGTATCTTATTCATCGTATGTCTGTCACTCATTTTTGTCCGACTATAAATGTTGATTAACGCTTGCTTAAATCGAGTTGGCTTCCCAGCCATCTCCAATACACATTGTTCTCGCTTCGCTCTCGAGTTGGCTTCCCAGCCATCTCCAATACACATTGTTCTCGCTTCGCTCTCGAGTTGGCTTCCCAGCCAATCTCCATTGCGCATGGTCTTTCGCTTCGTTCGCTTTTATTCGCTTCATCACTCTGATTCTCTGGCCGGATCAATGACTGTAGGGAATATATGTATTCTAAATCTATTCTCGTATTTGACGTATTTAACTCCGTTGTTCGCCAACGCGGATGAAGTCATTTATTACATACGAGTATAGACAGAATCAGATTTACTCCGACAACAACAGTATCTGTGAACGTTCATCATTGCCGATGTTCTCACAGCCATACTCGGTACCAATTTCCTATATATTCCCAGTCGATTCACGTAGGCCACACATAATCGATACTTCACCCAACAGTAAATTCATGAGCTTTAATGTTCACACAAATGCGTACCGAATCACATGTGTATTTCATCCGCATGACGATGTATTCCACTCTTTATTCCAGAAATCCCTCCAACTAACTAAACCTCTCGAGGAGATCCCATCGCTGACTAATCGTGTGATACACTACATGGTCACCCGCAGACCACAGTCACGGCAAAACCTCGCAGAATGGACCGGACAAACTAGCTTTCGCTAAAAGTTCGACAATTTACTAACTACTGGTATTATTAGACTTTATCAGAGTCCCTGGGCATCACCTCCTCACATGGTATAGAAAAAGGATAGGATTTATTTGAGAACATGCGGAGACTATCGATCATTAAACATAGCTACGAGTTTTGATAGGTACCTGTGGTGTTTATATGAATCAATGATTTCTTTGTATCGATGGCTGTTTTGATTTTGAATTTCAGATACAGTACATTCGTTCGTGCTCATCTAATACTTCTTTAATTAAATTGCGTT